GCAGACAGTGATTTAACACAGCCTGGAAGATGAGGTCAATACAGCATGTGGCAGCATGGGAAGTCCTCTAGAGCATCATTTTCACTTCATCGTTGCATCCACAGTCCATAATGCTAATGGAAACCCAACCTCAGAGAGTGTTTACACTTGTATGTCAAGGAGGCAATTGGAGCATTTGAGGTTCAGGAGCAAACTATCATCCACCACATCAGTGTGTCCTCCCGCCAAAGGGAGGACAGGCAGCGAGGGCTGTGAGGTAGTAGCCATCAGTGAGGGTCATTAAGACCGTATTTGTACTGTTTAATAAAAAAGGGCCAGGGAGTGATGCCTGGTAAAAGCCAAATGGCATTGAATGGCTCATTGCCCACCCTGCAGTCCACTAACCTTTCCCTTTGCAGGGAGCTAGGTGGAGAGGTCTATCCATAACAGCAACAGGGATGGAGGTAACACCTAAGCAATGTGGCCAAGCAGGGGTCAAGCGCCCAGGCTCTCCCTAGCCTGTATTTAGCAATCTATATCATGCTGCTGAGTTAAGATTTACAAGAAGCCATGGATCAGCCCCTCAGAGCTCTTTGCTATCAGTCTTTTTACTTGACTGCAGTGATGAAAACCCTTGCGCTAACATGCCTGGAGCCACCTGCTTCACAGCATGAGCAGAGGCTGGTTCACTCAAGAGCTCGGAGACCTTCCATGCTCTTCCCACAGTTCATCCCAGAAGGAGAGAAATATTTCACAGATGGTTTGGTTGATTTTGCCAGTCTCAGAGTGTCCCAATGCAAAGAACGGTGAGCTATGCCCTCACAGGGACACCAGCTGGCATGTGCAAAAAGAGAGGACATAGTAATGTTGTGGGCTGTGCACTCTTGGATCAGGTGGGACTGACCTGAGCACAGAAACCTAGGTTAACTGCAACATAAACATAGCCATGACCAGAGTACAGAGTAAAGTATTCAACTTCTTTTTTTAAATATACAAATCTCTTACAACTTCCGTATTGTTCCCTTCCCTCAACGTAGTTTTGTAGTGGATCTTTTATGTCAAGCTTTTCCAAGGCCTGTCTGTGTAAGATGAGATATTTGCTGCTTATTTAATTATAAATCTTTAGATTGCACCAGTTTTATGTCTTCTGACAACTGTCTTCTCCTCATTGTCTTGTTCAAAGCAGAAGTTAAAAATGCCAAGGTTGTCTGCTTCCAAATCTTCCCTCCATGGATGGACCCAGGACATTTTTAATGATGAGCAGCAGCTTATTGTTCATTCTTATTACAGTGACATGCAAATCCATTGGGAGGTGACAACACAAGGAGACCACTGCTCCCAGAAACTTCCTAGCACATTTGCTGGCAAAGCGTGCTCTCCAATGTCAGTGCCATTCCCACCAGTCTCCAAGACTGCAGCACGAAAATAGTGGAGTTGAAGAAAAAACAAAGGAGAGGAGTTATGAATGCGGCGAAGAATAAGAGGTAAGGATGAAGCTTATACATATAAATTCAAATAGCCTGAAGCCTGTACGCTGCGGGATGAGCTAATTGCTGTACACAGCATTTACAGTTTTCTAAAGATGGGAGTGAACTCAAGGGCTGTACTGTATATCCATGCCAATGTAGCTACAGCATGAGAATGGATTTGTGAAAGATCAAAAGACACAGAGAAAGGGTAGAAACTTCTGCTTCATGGCACAGTCTGAAAATCAGCTTGCAACAGCTGCATCAGTGAAGAAGAGACCAGATGTCATAGCTAGGTTTTAAATAAGGACATTTCCGAGTGAGGAAAAGGCTACTGGAGCCAAGTGTAAGACAGGGGGTAAGTAAGGAGGAGGGGTTGTGGGCGGCACTGCTGGCTGAACACAAAACATGTAACAGAGGTGTTTTCCCCAAAGAAACAGAATGGGAGAGGCTGCAACCTCCTCCCTGTGCTGGCCAGAGGGGCTCATGGCTAGGGCTGCCGTTCCCCTACCTTTTTCTTGTCCTGTGAAAAAAACATCAGGGGGTTAATGAACTCCCTTCTCTTTTCCTTCTTCCCAGCTTTTCATCTGGAAACAGTGTTACAGCCAGGCTTTCTCCCTCCCAGCCTCCCTGCTGCCAGAGGAAGAGGGGACAGAGGGGACAGCACAACCAGGCTCAGGACTGCAGAGGGGTGTGCTTCTGCTCCTCTCCTGCTGTCCCCACTGGAGGCACAGTCAGTGACCATGCTAGGACACGCTCCTGACAGAGCAGCTAACTTCTAAGGGCCTCCTAAGCTACAAAACAGAAACCTTTAAAGGTCTGGTTCCGTTCCAACTTTCTTTGCTAGTGAACTATAACAATGACAATTGTAAAAACATGACATTTCTGTACCATATAATTCCAAATTCTCTGACGATGATAAGTGATGCTCTGAAGTAACTTGCAGGTAACATGCTGTTACCTGGGCTTGCAGCTTTTGGTCCACATCTCCACTACTGCTCCATTTGCCAAAGCTGGTAAATACACTTGTACCTGTTGCATCCCAGAAGCTCATACTTCCTAACACACTGTGATAATTGCTTAAAACTTTATCCTGATATGGAAAAATGGAGCTGTTGGAAATGCATCCTATGCCCACTAGCAGGTGGCAGGTGCTCCTAGGTCCCGCTGAGGTCTGGTACTCTGTTTCGCTGTTCAGGCATCAGAGATGTGCCCTCCGTCACCCTCCCACTGCCAGGGTAACCTCCTCCGTTCCAATACCAAGTTGCGCTGGTTTATTTTTGCTTGGTCTTTGCAATGTCTTGGTATCTCTGTAAATTTCCATCTGTCTTCACAACAGTGAAGCATTCTTGGGTTTGTATCCTCTTCAGTAACACAACAAGAAATGGCAACTCCTGTGGCACTGTTGCCATTTCCTAATTTAAACGGGCTAAATACGTAGTATTGCCTACCTCTGGAGCCAACCGGTGCTTCATTACTTTAATGTCATTTTCTGTGAGTCACCGGATTAGAAATAATAGAGACTGGATGGGCTCAAAGAGAGAGTTAGCTGTTCAAATTACAAACACTGCCATTCCCTGAGGTTAGGTGGCCACCCCTGGCAGCAGAGGTCCTACTGATGGATTGGGCACCTGATTTTTCTGTTCTTGACACAGGCAGAGTAGTCGCCTCAAGGTGACACTGTGATCCTTGTGCACCTGTGATTTTGCAGATGAATGCTAGGACATCCGATACTGGAGGAGAAGAGCCTGGGAATCTGTCCTGTCACTGACGTATACATAAATTCCCCCCGGCATAAACAGGGATCATGCTTTGCGCTATAATCCATTGAATCTGAACTGAGTCGACTGGCTGCAGGCCCTCTCAGGAGAATATATCTAAAGGGACATGGGACTGATGGCTCTTCATTTCATGTGACCACTGAACTCAAATTCTGCTATCACTGCCAGGGTCGCTGGTGTTGCTGTAAGTGACATCCAACAGGCTAAGGTAGTGGTCCCCAAAGTGGAGTGTGTGCAAGACAATCCATTGGGGTGTGGGAAGAAAACAATTTTTGTACCATTAATAAATAAAATAAAATAAAATAAAATTTTAAGAATTGTGTTTATTTCATCTTTATCTCATCCATTTTAATTTCTGTTTTTTATGTTTTATAATGTACATAATATTAATACAATAGCACATGCACATAATTTGTAAATAAATATACATAGATAGAGAGTACATGCTTAAAAATTTTTTACTGATAAGGCTGTGTGATCAAAAAGGTTTGGAGACCACTGGGCTAAAAGATGGTGCTGCACAGGGGACACGTTAACCCCAAGGTCTCGACAAGGGCTATAGGGCACAGCCAGTCCATGCTGTGAACTGTGACTCTGACTCAGGTGATCCCACTGGAATTTCAGGGGCTTTTTTCTTTTTTTTTTTTTTTTAAAGGAATGCCTATATGGTCCCTAAGTTTCTGAGGAGGAAAACTTGAACACATGAACTAGCAGCTTGAGAGAAGGGAGTGGTCTTCTCAGGCATCTCCAGAGAGGTCCTAGCTCCAAGATCCACAGTCCTAGTCAGCCCTTCTCACACTGTGCCAGAGATGGCTTTGGTTGTGGCAGGGGTAAGAGATGCAGTAAGTCCAAGATGTGCTCAACCACTGGGGCAGTTCACGAGGGCTGCTTTGCGGAGGAAGAATGAAAAAGCTCCAGAGGGGAGCGGGGAACCCGCTGCAGTGCCTGTAAGGCCATGGGGTGTGCGTGGGGGAAGGAGCTGCAGATGTGGAGCCTCAGAAACTCTCATCATGGCATGGCACAGACTCTGCAAGGCAACAGGGGCAGATCATCCCTTCCTCTGCATGCTGTGTGCCCAAAAGGGGTTACATGCCATCAGCCAGCTGGCAAAGGTCATGCCATGCAGGGACACAGTCCAGAGGATGTGGTAACAGTATAAAAGAAGCCATGGGAAATTAGGATGTGCTGTTTCCTGAAATAAGCAAGCACTTGGAATGAGGGGAACCTTCCCCCTGCTCCCAGTATGTTAGCAGGAGTCCAGAGGGGAAACTTCCACTGGGATCTGCCAGAGCTTTTGTGAATCCATCCTAGTGAACCTTCAGCAGGGTCACTTTGCTCATTTTTGGGATTTTCAAAAGTCTGCAACAGTAGAAGGAAAAAATAACCTTGGTCCTATGAGTGCCCCAAACACCATTCTAGTTGTCAAATTTCAGTCACATTCAGAAAATAATTTAATCTCCCCTTTGCCCCAAAATTTGAACATTTTACAGACATTTCTTTTCCAAATATGTTTGTCTGGACATTGGCCCAATTTCTCTAATTGAGTTTAAGTGGACTAAACAACTTTGAAACAACAACAAAAGCAATGAATTTGCAGCATGTTAGTTTGGTTTTGGCTCTACTTTTAAAAAAGTGTTGTCCCACCATTTCCAGCCTTATTTTCAATCAGCTGCTGTAGAAGGCAGCACATTTCTTGTTCATTCTGCTGAAAGTCAAGTGTGGCCAGTGCCAAGCATGTCTGAAAATCTTATGCATCATCCTGAAGTTGTTTTACCTTTGAAGACTTAATGTCAGATTAGCGTTGACAGTCCGTCTCTCTTGAATCACCATCCCTTTATGGGCATACAGGTGTGTGGTTTCCTTATCCAGAGTCATCATGCGCGCTTGGCTATGCCCGTGTTCACAGCTTTCTTACTCCAGGATTAATCACCCCAGGTCCCATTGTCCCTTAACATCCTTCCACGCTTTGTCAGTAGTGTACAAGTCCATAACACAGCTCTAGATAGCTCTTTAACGTGCTTTCAATAGAGTTTATATTAGAGCAGGTACCCAGCCCTGGAGTGTTACTGGTTTTAAGGATAAGTGGGATGGTGGGTCAGCAGCAGTTAGCAATGCTCAGCTGCAACATCATGCCTTACCTTAAGCGTAGCATTATTTAGGGCAGTCTTTATGGTCATGCTTAATCCAGATTTCAGCGGGATTTCAGCAGTAGTGCTTAAGTGCTCCAGAGACCTTTCCTGTGCACGCTGAAGAAATGAGGAGTAACTGATCCTAGCAGGCTGCCAGCTGGCCCAGGCAGGTCCTGGCCTTCCCAGAGCCTCTTCTAGGTTCATGCAAGGCCAAACCACAAAATTCGAGATAAAACAGAACAGAGCATTCCTCTCTGCCCAGCCACTGTCCTAGAGACCTCCATGAGCCCTGGAGATGCTTCTGTCGCTTCCAGCCTTACTGAACGGCCTGACTGACACCTAACCCTTAACCCTCCCCTGGGCATTTCTGCCCTGCCACAAGGAGTTTGCCTTCTCCATTGTTCCAGGGTCACAGGTATAACACATCCTTCTGGTGAAAAAGCACCTGGAGCAGAGGGAACGTGGCAGTTCTGAACCATCTCGTGTAAAAAGCATTACTGGCACTGCGCTCTTCATACCTAAAACCCAAGGACAGACCTTGCTAGCCTGCCAGGGAGCAACATGCTGGAGACTCTCTTCTGTTCCTCTTCAGAAGGAAGAGCATCACGTGTCAAACCACAGTGCTCTATCTTGGAGGATCCTCTGGAAGCAGAATGATCCAATGTTTACAACTTCTTGTAACCTGCCCGGGACAGCTCACGGGGCTGCTCAGCTGGCAGAGAGCAGATCCCCCGACAGCCTCAGGACCACGCAGTGTCGGTGCAAGACCTCAGCAGGGCGGATCCTTGGCTCTTTTGGCCACTAAAAAAGGCAGCCGCTGTTTGGTTCGTTTTGCGCAGCACGCCTCACTCCGCTTTGAACACCGCTAACGCTCCAGCGGGGTCCGATGGTTTTCCTTTGGGCACGTTAGTGGCTTTCCCTCGACCACGCAGTGTCGGTGCAAGACCTCAGCAGGGCGGATCCTTGGCTCTTTTGGCCACTAAAAAAGGCAGCCGCTGTTTGGTTCGTTTTGCGCAGCACGCCTCACTCCGCTTTGAACACCGCTAACGCTCCAGCGGGGTCCGATGGTTTTCCTTTGGGCACGTTAGTGGCTTTCCCTCGAGGACGAGTCCCGTGTGACCGAGCAGTGCTTTAAATTTGTCCCGCAGCGGTTTTCCCGCGGTGCCTATCTGCACGCCCACGCACAGGCACACACGTATTGGCGTTGGCTTGCGTGTGCGTGCTCCTGCCCCGAGGAGGAACGAGGAGGGGCTGAGGGCGGCGGCGGC